AGGAAGAAAGTAAGACTACCTATTTTATGAATAAAGTGATAAGCATGGGTGTCAAACGTGTATCTAAGGCTGTAATGAAGGAGAAGGAAAGGAAGCCTGAAGGCACCTGTTTTCTCATGAATCAGGGGCCAGGCAGTCAGAATAATTGCTGCGTCCAACACAAGGAAGCAAAGCAATTATCCAAGTTTTCCGAACAGTTCTCAGTGGAGAATGGAAAAAGTAAATGAGCAGGTAAGTAAATGAAGTACCAAGAATCCCTGAGGTTGAATGTCATAATTTTATAATGGTTCACTGAGCAGGAGGAGCAAAGAGACAGCTACTCTGGCATAAGACTGGAAGCTCACAGCATAGGTTAAGGAATTGAGGGTGGGAAAATCCAGATTATTACTTTATTGATAAAGAGCAAAAACAGCCAGGTGTGGTGGTATATGCCTATAACCCTAGCACTATGGGAGGTTGAGGCAAGAGAATCCTAAGTTTAATACCACCCTGGGCAAATCAGTGGCTCAGCAAAACTTCTTTCCAAATTAAAAATATATATATATAGGCTGGTGATATAGTTCAATGTAAAGGATTCATTGGATTCACTTCCCAGTATTGGGGAAAAAAAGTGATAATATTGATTGATTAGCAATGTTCAAGTGGGGAGGGAAACGAGAGGAGAGGAAAGGAAAGTAGAAAAATGCGAAAAGGAGAAAAACATGGATGGAGTTCAAGGGAGGGCAGGGAAGACGAAAAAAGTTATGTACAGTACATGCAGAAAAAATTCTCTATGACGAATGTGATCATTACATGTATCTAAAATGTAATAAAATCTGATTAAGAATGATTAACAATTTTCTAATAATTTACAGATAAATAAGTACTACTACTTTTTCTGAACTATTTGCAAAAAAGTCACCAAGATCAATTTGCCACAACCAAGGATATGCTCCGATATAACTTTCATACAACCACCAAAACATCACATTTCTATATCCACCATCAAACCGCAGCCTCACCCCGATTCTGCCAGCTGTCCCATAAGGTCCTTTATGGCAAGAGGATCAGCACAGATTCTCACCTGTCATGTCTTTCCAACTCTCTCCCCACCAGGGAGTCCTTCAGTCTTTAACCAACTTTCATTACGGTGACCCTCGCCAAAGTTACAGAGCAGTCTTGTTATTGAGTGTTTCTAATTTAAGACTCATAGAGCCTCTCTGTGCTCTGGCTGGACTGTCACAGAGGCGAGGCTATTCCCTGATCTTACGAAGTGGCACACACACCTGGACTCCTCCTACCACTGGCTCTACTAACTGTGATCATTTCACTAAAGGTCTGCTAAGCTTCTTCATTGTAGATTTACTTTTTCTTTTCTTCTTTAATTCATAAGCTTATTAGGAGGTACTTTGTGACTATGTGCCATTCCATTCCTTTATTTACTTATTTATTTTTGGTGGAACCGGGGATTAAACTCAGACCCTTGTGCTTGCCAGAGAAGCGCTTATTCTACTGAGCCATCTCCCTGGCCCCATGCCATTCCATTCCTAATACACTATTTATTTGTTGTTTATACAAGGAATCCATGGATTTTTATTTTAATCATTATTTATGATAGTAGATTTGTCCCATTTGTGCTTAAGTGATCCACAGTATGGCCAGAGAATGCTCCTTCAAACTGGCATCTATGTTCATGTGACAGATTCACATCATTTTCTGAATAAGTTCTTTCTGACAAAATGTCACAGACTCATCCTAAACTATCCCTGCTTGAATTATGAAATTGGCCATTTCTATACGCATGTGATTCCTTTTAGTAGAGAATGGCATTTAGAAGAAAAGAGCTGAGGACTGGGTATATTCATTGCTACTAGTGTGCTGTTCCCACCGACCCTCTGAGCAGGCGACGCTAAGGAATCGTGCGCACACAGCTCCCTCATCCTCACACACAGCGCTTCTATTTTCTTTCCCTTGCAGCTCTCCCTGCCCCAGGGCCCCACTGCAGGGGTACTTACCTTGATCAATCAACCCTACCTACCTGCCTTTGGACTAAGGGGTTCCATAAGGGAAAAGAAGAGACGCGCAAGCGAATGAAGAGTTTATAAAATTCTTAAGTCTAGTACACTGTAACAGTACTTTTTTTAAATATTTATTTATTTTTATTTATTACATTTATTTATTGTGTGTGGCCAGCTCAGCCCACCAGGGGGCGGGGCTGGCTGGCATGTGGTGCTGGAGGATTGAACCGCGGTCCCTGTGCTTTGCCAAGCTTGTTTCAAGTAGGTGCTTTAGACCACTGAGCCATCTCTCCAGCCCTGTAACAGTACTTTGCAAAGAAAATTATGTTCTTTCTAAAGAAGTACCAGGTACTAACTGATAAACTGGCAATAATTTTTAAATTTCAAAGCTATTACAGATACTGTTAAGGCCACTACTTTAATAGTCCTAAGACAGTTCAACAGTTGTTGAATTTTCATCTTTTCCTATGTTCTTTAGCATTTAGGACTGTTTTCTGAGGTTCCTGAAATAGAGAACTTAGGAAAACTTTTTCCCAGCAAATCATGAATAGCAGATACTAACATAGTAAATCAATAATTTGTTAAACAAGATAAATATTAAAAATATCTGCTCACCTGTTTCCATGCAAGTCAAAAACATAGATATTTCCTTGATGGTCCCCAGCAATTAAACAATCTCCTGAGCCATCAAAAGCCACATTCAAAAATCGCAGAACTTTTGGATGATAATCAGAAGTGCTATGTATGATGTTCACTATAATTCTATCAAAACAAAAACCAAAACACCTAACCATTAAATTCTACGTTAGTGTTACTTGATACATGACAAATACAGCTTTTAAAGCACACTTTACAAATTTTGAAGCCTGTTTTGCCTACCCGTTCTTCCTCTCTCCCTGTTGTTCATTCTGCTCCTCCTCAAATCAATCTTAACAAGGATTTCTGAAAACAGTTCAAAAATTTATTCATTATCAAAGTAGCTACTATTTATTCATCAAATACGTGAAAACTTGCTATCTGTCAACCACTGAGCAAACCAGGAGCTAAGGATAACTGATTGACATAGTCCTGGCCCTCGAGAAGCTTCCAATTAGTAGTAAAATACATTAAACAAAACCATCTGCGTGTAATCCCCACACTGGTGAGGCTAAATAAAGCAGGATTACTGTGAGTTTGAAGCGAGCCTAGGTTACACAGTGCTAGACAAATGGAATAAAATTTTGTTTCTGTGATACAAAATGTTTCCAAGTGAATTAAGCACACATGAATTCTATTTTCACTGTAACATCTACTATAATTCCCTGGCAGAAGTGCACTGTAAAAACAAGGACCGCAGCTTGCTCACTCCTGTATCCCTGCACCCGGCCCAAGGTACAGAACAGGCACTCAACATACGCCTGCTTTAGGAGCAAATGTTTTAAGTCACTCAAACTCACGTTAACTGCACATCTGCCCAAAAACTTCAAAAGGAAGCTTTCTGGGCCTGTGTTCTGTGCAGGACAGGTAGCACTCATGTGGGTGCTATAATATTCTACAGGAGCATACAGATTGCTTAAAAAGCTAGAGGAATGTGAATAGTCTAATTTTAGGTTTTAAATAGTTGAAAAATACACACACACATACACACACACAATTAGAAGAAAAAACTGGAAGAAAAGAAAAAGAAAAATCTCTACATAAGAAAAGCTTAACATGTCCAATGGTCACTTGCAGGTGACAGGCATGCGGGGGATCCTCCCTTTCCTACTTCCCCATGTTCATACAGCCCTCAGAACACCTTCTCAGAGGTGGCTGAAGGCACAGTGTGAGGCTGAGACCGAGGGCGTGCAGCACCAGGTCAGTCCCCTGAGTAGTTTGGGCACTGTTCTCAGAGGGGATAATGGGAAGCCCCCCCACGAGGGCTACCGTCCCCGACAGAACACGGGCCCACAGAGCCGGCGGGTGTGGGGGCTCCTCGTGCTACTGCCGCTGTCCCTCGCTGCGTGCTGCCTTGTTGTCTTCTACCGACTAAGTACTGTTTCTCCTCTGGGCCGCTCCTCTGCTATGTCACCCTGCCTGGAACCAGCTGCGAACGGAAACCTCTACAAAGTGTGGGCCACAGAAAGCTTCCCCCTTTCCCTTTGGGTGTCAAGGTACTTAGTCTCAGCAATAAGAAAGTAACTCCGGATTGAACACAGGGACCTCATCCATGCTAGGCTACCCTCCAGTCTGGTGTATTTTTTATTCTGAGGCAAGGTGTCACTACCTTGTCCAGGCTGGCCGCAAAGTCAATCCTCCCGTCTTAATCTCCGGAATTACTGCACTTCATATTGCTTATTTTTATATTAACCATACAAAAGTTGGGGCTGGAGAGATAGCTCAGAGGTGTAAAGTGCTTGCTTAGGCAAGCCAAGGCAAGCTTAGGCAAGCGCACAGGGACCATGCCGCGCCAGCTCCGCCCCCAGGGTGGGCTGAGCCGGCCACACACACAAAAAAAAGTTAACGTTCTGAAATGACATCAAAACTTTCCCTGGCAACTCAAACAAAGCCAGTAACTTTTCCTTTGTCTTTCTTTTCCTGTAGTATCACATGTTCTGAGGACAAAATAAGATGAGCATTGTTCAAAATACTGAAAATATTTCAAGACACTAAGAAACGTGTCTAATCCTACCATATAAATGCAACAGTTATGGTTACAATTTCGTCCGATTTTCTTTCACGTAACTCTCACACAAGCATTTCTGCAGCAACTTCAGTTCAACGGCTCAAAAGCAGCCTGGCGGACTCTCCCTCCTGAGAACTCAGCGCTTAACGAGAACAGCCGGCATCTACCGCGCGGCGGCTGCAGGCACACAGCGTCTGGTAGGCCCAGCGGTGCCCACCTACAGGGCTACTAAGTCAAGCCGCCCGACACGGGCAGACGCGCCGCAAGCGGCCCGAGCGCGTCCGGGCGGCGACCGCAGGGCGCACACGCCGCCGCCCGGCAGAAGGAGGCCGCTCCCGCTCCGGGCCGCTCCCGCTCGAGGCCGCTCCCG